CGAGCAGGAAGCCCGATGTGGGACTCGATCCCAGGACCCTGGGATCATGACCTGAGCTGAAGGCAGACGCTTAACGACTGAGCCACCCAGGCGCCCAGAAAATGTCTACTTTTTAAAGAAAATGTCAAACTATTATAAAGGGATTATAACATTTTGCATTCCCACCAGCAAAGAATGAGCATTCCTGTGCTCCCTATCCAGCATTTGGGGCTGCCACTGTTTGTGATTTTAGCCATTCTAATAGGTGTATAGTGGTATCTCACTTTAGTTTGCAATTTCTGGATGATACCTAATGATAAACATCTGTTCATATACTTATCTGCCACTTGCATATCTTTGGTGAGGAATCTGTTTAGATCTTTTGCCCATTTTTTGGATCAGGTTTTTTTTTTATTTTACTTTTACTGCTGAGTGTTAAAGAGTTCTTCGTATATTCTGGATACCAATCCTTTATCAGGTGTGTGTTTTGTACAAGATTTTTTTCCAGTTTGTGGCTTGTCTTTTCATTCTCTTAAAAGTGTCTTTCCGAATGGGTCATAACTTTCTAATTTTAATGAAGTCCAACTTATCAATTATTTTCTTTCATGGATTGTGCTTTTGGTGTTATATCCAAAAAGTTACTACCAAACCCAAGGTCACCTAGATTTTCTCCTATGTTATCTTCTAAGAGTTTTACAGTTTTGCGTTTTACATTTAGGTCTATGACCCATTTTGAGTTGATTCTGTGAATGGCGTAAGGTCTGCGTCTAGATTCATTTTTTTGTATATGAGTGTCCCGTTGTTCCAGTACCATTTGTTGAGAAGACTATTCTTTCTCCATTGAACTGCCATTACTCCTTTGTCAAAGATAAGCTGGTTATATTTGTGTGACTCTACTTCTGGGCTCTCTATTCTATTCCAGTGATTTGTCTATTCTTTTACCAGAAACCTGCACACAACGTTTATAGCAGCTTTATTTATAATTGCCAAAACTTGGAAGCAAGGAAGATGTCCTTCAATAAGTGAATGGATAAAGAAATTGTGTGGTACATCCATACAATGGATTATCATTCAGCAATAAAAATAAATGAGCTATCAAGCCACAAAAAGACACACAGGAACATGAGATGTATATTGCTAAGTGAAAGAAACCAATCTGAGAGAGCTACATACTGAATTATTCCAACTATATGACATTCTGAAAAAGGCAAAACTATGAACAGTGAAAAAGATCAGTGATTGCCAGGGATTTGAGGGGGAGGGAGATAAATAGGTGGAACACGGAGGATTTTAGAGCCCTGAAACTTATGTATGATATTGTAATTATAGATACATGTCATTATACATTTGTCCAAACCCACAGAATGTAAACAGGAGGACTGAACCCTAATGTAAGCTACAGACTTTAGTTACTAATATCAGTATTGGCTCATCAATTTTAACAAGTACACCACATTAATACAAGCTATTAAATAATAGAAGAAACCGCGTGTGAGGGAATATATGGGAATTCTTTGTATGTCCTGCTCATTTTTTTCTGTAAACCTAAAATTGCTCTAAAAAGATAAAAGTTTATTAAAAACAAAACACAAACACCTCAGACATTCTACTGTAAAACTGTTCTTTCCAACACATGCTGTTCAGGTGGTTATACGGGTAAAGCAAAAATTATGTTCTATATATGTAGAATATATATATATATATGTATATGTTCAAACACATGGAAAAAAAACCCCAATATGTAACATGAGTAACCTACAGATGAAACAGCTCATAATTCTTAATGCAATGATTCTAATTTTAATCAATAAATTTTAATTAAAAAAAAAAAAAGAGTAACTACCCCAACTCTTTGCATGCCCCCATGTCCTTGCCACACTGGAACCAGCCGGGTTCTCTGTCTGGTGTGCAGTGCCCCTTCCATATCAGGCCAAACAGCACAGAAGTTGATGCTGGTACCTAGGATTTACTGCCTCCTCACCCACACACTGTATCATAGCCAGCCACCAAGCAGCTGACCTTTTTTAAGCCCAGGTGGGAAAGACATCGAAGGACTAGGAAGACTCTTACCAAGTGGAGTGACTCGGGGCTGAACATCTTTCAGAACTTCATGTAGCCACTCCGTGAATCGAACATAATAAAGATCGGAGAAGATGTCATCAACCCTTCCATTTTCAAAAAGATACTAAAAGAAAAACAATAAAAGTTGTTGGTAATCTCCTGAGTAAAACTTTCAGGGGAAATAAACATTGTGCTACCAGTATCATCAGCTCTCCCTACCCATCTCTCCCTCCTTAACAAACGAACACAACAGGTAAAAAATGTCCAGCATATGACACTTCCACAGTACACTTCAGATCATGTGAAATGACTCTCCTAACACTCTGGAGAGTTGGGTCAATGGGACAGATTTTGTGAATGCTATTTCAACCCAGGCAAGGTACTATCTTGTGGTAGCAAAAAACATAATGCAGGCTCTGGGGCCAGCATCTTATTAGCTATGGTGTAAGTTAAGTAACTCAAGTATTTTAACTTTTGGGGCTCAGTTTTTTTTGTCAGTGGAAATGACTGTGCCTGCCTTCCAGGACTAGGAAGAGAGCATGGAATGAAACACAGCATGCAAAGCAATTCACTCAGTGCCCTGGGTGACTGGGAAGAAAGAGAAATAAACTGGGAGGCAGACTTTTCTTAGGCCCAGGCAACAGGGTGAGTCCCAACCAGCAAGTGCTCTTCCATCATGCTGTGGGCTTTTCCATGAGAGCATTCACACACTAAGAAATCCACCCCTGCTCTCCTAAACTGCCAGTCCTGAATCAAGTTTCCCTATTATGCTACACCTTAGATGTCCTGAAAGCCTACCTACAGTTGTATATTCTAGCTAGATTCTCAAATAATTATTTTGTGTTAATGCAGGGAACAATGAGAAAATGAGCTGAATGTTAGCACCAGACTTTGTTTCAGATAAATTACTTTTATATAAACCATGTTTACTTTAATGAAAAGTATTATTATATAAATGCTTTGTGATTTTTTTAAAAAGGCTCTAAGATACTATAACAAATATTTTAACAAAAGTTTCTCTAGATGATGGGATTATAGCTGATGTCTATTTTATTTTTTTAAAGTGAACATATTAGGTCTTCTGCAATTTTTAAAAATGTACATTAAAAAACTTATTATAGGGCGCCTGGGTGGCTCAGTTGGTTAAGCGACTGCCTTCGGCTCAGGTCATGATCCTGGAGTCCCGGGATCGAGTCCCGCATCGGGCT